ACTGGGTGATGCAGTCAGAATGAACTAACAATTGATATAAAGAAATCAAACTACAATGGAACTAGGAACATATAAAACATCATAAAGGGTGATATGAGAGCCCAAGTAAACATTCCCACCCTTGCTATCCATACTCAAAGAACCGTTAGCAGTTGAACGGGGCGAGTGGAAATATCCCGAATATCAGAAATAAAATCCAAGAATCCTGTCATATGATGAGTAGCCCCACAGTCGTACATCCAATCAAATATACAACGCTTACCAGACAGGTGATTGTTCTGTTTGGCAGAGTTTACCAAAGTTACAATGTGAGCCCATTGATCATTGGTTAATCCACTAAGTGCACGACGATCAGAATCGGTGAGAGGAGTATTGCCAGGAGAAGAACCGATACTATCAGCAACGAACGGCTCACCAGTAACACTAGAAACTTTGACATTTGCACGAGCACCCCCTTTGCCGCGCGCGCCATTACGCCGACCTCCAGTACGACCGCGGCCACTTCCAGAATTATACCCTTTGGGATACCCAATGATCTTGTAACATGTCGCGATGAGGTGACCCATACGCCCACAATGAGAGCACTTGGGGCGGTCAGCGAGCTGCCCCGAAACGCCGGTGCTCCCAGGCATAGTAGCAGACCCAGCAGACCCCTTTGGCAGTGCTGCAGCAGAAGGATGAAGCCCGCTCGCCGCCGCCTGCAGCCCGGCGAAGGAACTCGCCTGTAGTGACTGAGAGTGAAAATCGGCGGCATCCAAGGGTGGCTGTTCGTCGGTCGAGATAGTACGCATGCGTTCCTCTTGAATCATCTTAGAATAAACTCGATTTAAGGAATGGAGCAGATCTTGAGCTAGAATATAAGACCGTGGCACTCCATACAAAGCCGAATCTAGCACCTTTAAAAACTGATGCACACGCTCTTCTTCGCGCATCCGATCCCATGCCGATTGCAAGTTGCACTCGCACTTGCCACAGCGACACATCGGAGGCCTCTCTAAACCAGAGAGTTCTTCCCATATTTTCGTGATCTTGCCGTAATAGTGCTCAATCGACAAACCCTTTTGTTTACAATTAGCAAGACCAGATTTCAATTGTTGAATTCTCGTGCCATTACGAGTAGAAAAACGTTCCTTGAGGGAAAATTCGTCCTTTACCCGAAATTGAGAAGCAGCGCAAGAAATTTTCTTTTCAGCTCAAAATTAAGCAGCAGGTCATGGGCAAAATAGAATCAAGCAGCAGCCTGGGCAAACTCGAAATTAACCAAACAACCAATTTTGGGAACTGAGTGCTAATTTGATATTACCCGTTGAGAAGCGACTGAAAGGGCCGAATTCTCGGAGAATCAACGGAGGGCTTGCGAATAATCAAGCAAAGGCCGAATTGACGAGATGAAGCCCGGACGTGAAGACAACAGCGGACGAGAGATAAAAAAAATTATCCGATTAGAAATTTAGAGAGGAGAAATCAGAGATCGATCATAGATGAACAATCGACTGTGAGAATTTAGGGATCAAAAATCACAGATGCGTGCAGATCGATCGAAAGATAATATATTTATCATAAAACAGATAAAAAAATCAAATATGGCTCTGATACCATGCTAAAGACGAGACAAGAGAAATATGACGGTCATCTATTCACAATGATGCCGCTGAAAATAAATCGAATATATATACATAGTTTTAGGGTTACAATTACCATAAGTATACATAAGGCTAAAACAGTAAATATAAATATAGAATACAATAACACAGATGATCAGCCNGCTGAAAAAGAGCCACACGTTGGCTGAAATCTCGCCCACGTATATTTTTTTCTTCTTTTCCGTTTTAACTTTATTAGTTATTATCCCAAGTTTATCGACTTGTCATCTTTTATGAAACAAAGGACAATTGTCGAGCGTGGTTTCTTTCGTACTAGGCGTGTGCTAAATAAAAGATTGTATACTACTAATGTAAGAAAGAAATTTCTTTATTTAAATTTCAAATGATTTTTAAAAAATTATATTATTTTTTATATTTAAAATGAATATTTTCACTACTACAATTTATTTATTTTATATTATAATAATTTTTCTTGTTAAAATATACACTTGTGAGTTGTCCCACATCGTCTGTACAGGGAAAATAGGCCTAACTTATAAGCCTAGTGGCTACTCCTCCTACCACCAATTGGTTTTGTGATGAAACCTCACTTGAGCTTCATTTGGGCTTCCCTGATTTGGTGCGCTTCGTCCGCGGGACCGCACCCGTCAACCCTCGTTTGTCATTTCTAATTCATATTAAATTATAGATAACATTTTCATTGATATATAATTTTGTTAATTTTTAATTAATATTAATAGATAATTTAATTTTATAATAAATAAATAAATTTATTTATTTATTTTACACATGCAATATGGATATCAAATTAAATTTTGCCAAAATTTAACTAACTGAGATATTATATGTGAAAAACTCAAAACAAGTACAAAAATTATTAACTTTTTAAATATATTTATATTTTAAGTCAATCAATTTTTTTATAATTTTAATAGTCTAATAGCTATTGATTGAATTTGGATCAACATGCACTACTACGAAGTACAAATCTGACACAGAAAAAACACGAAGCACCAGAATCGTGACATTCTACTTTACTATATATGGAGGGATTGTTTTTCCATAAATAATATTGATACTTATTTTAAAATAGAATATTACAATAGAAAATAGCAAATTCCAATAAAAAATACGATGAAAAATTATTCCAATAGAAATTCACAAGTAAACTAATGTAACTTCCATTAAAAAATTTGAACTAATATTACAAAGGATATCAACACTGAATTTTTTTATTGAAATTTTATGATTCCAATAATTTGTTTTTCACAATTTACCCAACACGTTTTCGAACGATTGATTGCTTTGATAATTTTCGCGGAATATGTAATTTATGTCTAAAATAAGTCCAACCGGAAAAACTTATTTATACATCACAAGTTGCATAAAATTATCATCGTAGAATTTTTTGTTGGAATATTTAAATTTTGTTGAAATTTGTTCCTGCAAATAATTTTAACCGTTGAAAAAATTGGTATATACGACACTTTTTCTAATGATGTGTTGTTGTAGGAATTTCTCTTGAGTTGTGTAACTTCTGTGGGAATTTTTTTCACCAATAATTTAAATCGTTGATAAAATTACATTTGAAACAGTCAAAACTCAATACAAATTTCAAATTAAACCAATTTCAATAGAGGATTCAATGGAATTGTCACTAAAATTCTATTTAAATATATTACCATTTAAAATTTTAATTTGAATTCGATGGTTTTCTAGCGTGAAACTTNTTAATTTTACGGAATCATATCTGCACATCTAAAAAAATGAAATACAAAATAGAAAAAGATCACTTTACTAATGTATTGGTAAAAAGAAATAGCTCCAAGCTTCCTCCTGGTTTTAGATTTCGCCCGACCGACGAGGAACTAATCGTGTGCTATCTCAAAAACCAACTTTACCATATTCTCAAATTGATATAAATTACAATATTACAATTATTGTTAGTCATATCATTATGGCCCTTCATATTTCACAGAATTATATAACTGATAACGGCATGAAAAATATTATTTGTATAATAGGGTTTGTACAATGAGTTTGACAATACCAATTCAATTACTAATTTGCCCTCAAAATATTACTTGATAAATTTACCTTGTATTGTTTTATAGAAGAGTACTTTATATTTAATTTAAAAAAGTTGTCTAATTTACTTAAGAACAATACATAAATTTATATATATATATATTCTCGCAATAAGTATAAGAACAAAAATAATAAGTACATTTATATATATAATTTTTTTTTAATGAATTATTTCATTTTAGATATAAGTAAACATAAAAACAGATAAAACAAAGATAAATTGTTAAAATGTAAAACTATAAAATATATAAATAAATAAGTCATATATTTTTATATATAAATCTATGAAACATTAATTCAAATAGAACTTTTTATTCAAATTGAAAGTATGTTTACCTATAAATTGTTATTTATTAAAAAAATTATATTTAAGTGTTATAGATTAACAACGTGCAAATATGAATAATATAATTTTAAATGTGAAAAAAAGAAGTTGTGTTGTATAATGCNTAATAATAATCCAATTCGATAATTGAGAGCAACTATGAGACAACATCTGCGTTAGCAATTTGAAAAGCAATTCGGTAAAAGAAGATTTTTTTTCCCAATGTACTTTTTTTAAAAAAAATATTATACATTATTAAACATTGGTACTTTGAAATATTCTATTTTATGTTCATAAGGGGAAAATAAAATAATATAAAAATAAAATATAAAATAGAAATAATTGGTGTTGAAACAATAAAGTGTAGTGTTTTAAAACAAAATGTCTTTATTTTCAATTTATCGAGATTATGAATTTATCGCGATATATTCTCTAATTGTATAATTCATTTCACAATTTGATTGTACATGTAACACTAATCTAACTGAATTGAGGCTTTTCTTTTCACTATTTTCTTCCCCCAAGAGATAATATTATTTAATAAGAAAATGTACGTGATAAATGTACATAAAAGTGTACATAACACTCACATGAAGTGGGGTCCACTTGATTTTTTATATTTGGTTGGTCCCACTCAATGTGAATGTTATGCACCCCGATGTACAATATCATGTACGTATAACATTTCTCATTTAAGTGTTGAATTGCTTCAATGGCTCGCACAACAAGAAAAACGGGTCCGAATCTCTACCCGTTTCGAGCTCGCGGATGGTCCATATAATGGTCTGTCAAGCGGCCCAAGAAAACGGCCCATCAAACATTCAAAACCAATTATAGAACTCCAGCGAAGCCCACTTAACCTTTAACAAATGCAAAACGAACAGATTCCATTGCAGGCCCAGGCCCGAATACACAGCTGTCTTTGTAGATGCCTGGATATTTTTATTTTTTTTCTTTATTCTATTTGAGCGTGAGCTGAAAGCTGAAACATAATCTTCTATTTTCTTCCATTCCAAAGCTTCTAGATTTTGCCAAGTTTCAATTTCAGGTGAACTCTTGATCTTTTTTTTTTTAATTTTTGTCCTTCAATTTGTATTTATTATGGAAATTATAAGTAATTTCTTGTTACATTTTTTTCAGTTTTTATATATACATATTTTAAAATATAAGCATTTTAAACTGAATTTTATCGCTAGTGATTTAATGTCAAAGTTTGAGCAGCAGGGTGTCAAAGTTTTCTATTATTATTATTATCATTATATTATTATTATTTGAATTGTTGTTCCTTTATGTTAATTACAAGGCATACAAAATTAAGAAAGTAATAATTCTATATATAATCACCTAGTTAATGCAAAATTTCACTCTCATCTCTATAGGAACAAAATCAAGACCATGACTTATATATATATATATATAGTTTTCATTTTCACTGAAACTTTTGATATTATTTCATTTGTTTTAGTCATTATCTTTATCTTTTTGCAGTGACATGGCGGAGATAATTAATGAAGCAAAATCAGAGGCAATAAAACTTTCGGTCACAGGTCCAAAAATTGAAGAAGCTGAAAATTTAACACAGGAAAAATCAGAAAATGTGGATTTATGTCACAATAACAATGATCCATCTACAAAGCTCGAGGTACAATATCCAGACTGCTTTATTATTCATATGTTGCCCATTTATAAAGCCAATTTTTGGATTATCGATATAAACATTATACTTGCATAAAGATAAATGTGATCTTTAGTTTTGTTGGGTTAATAAATTGGCAAATTAATTTTCTGACTTAAACTATCATCCAATCGGTTGATTTTAAAATATAAAGGACTCTTAATTACTGATTAATTGATTTATAGCGAGATTAGCTTTGAGTTTGACAAGTTTTTTTTTTTTTAATTTTTAGGAGGACGTTATCAAGAAAAAGTATGGCGGCTTATTACCAAAAAGGCCTCCTCTAATCTCCAAGGTAATAATATATATACATCTTCTTCAACTCCAACATTTTTTTTTTAATTTCTTACAGCATAAAAGCTTATGTAAGTTGGAATAAATATTTTTGCAACATATATATGTACTTTTGAACTGAATTTTCATATTCTAAAAAACAATATAAACAGAAATATAACATTACACCATGAATGTGTATTTTATCCGGAANGATGGACCGACTAATCTAATGTCTTACGAATTTGTGAACTATGAAAACTAATCTTTGTAATAAACTTCAACACTTTTTATTTTATTTTTAAGAATTTAAACGAGCATAGATATTTACGAGATAGTAAAAATTCAATAAGAGTGTTTACATTTGCAGGACAATGAACGGGCTTTCTTTGATTCAGCTGATTGGGCTTTAGGAAAGGTAAATATTTTTTTACAATTTTTAATTTTTGCTTATAATAATTTGGGATATAAAAAAAATTAAATCTAAAAAAATGCTTAGGTTGGGGCACCAAAGAACAGAGGACCTCTGGAGGCACTTCGCCCTAAACTAGAGGTATCAGAATATAATAAAATCCATTTATTTAACATACACAATTTATATATATATAGAGAGAGAGAGAGATTTATGTATTAAAAATTTTGAGGGAACAAGTTAAATCATCCATTGTTCTTTATGATGTTCAAATAAATGAAATTATAGTCCTATTTTTGTTTTTGTTTTTTAACAGCCCACAAAACATGAACAAGTGCGCTCACGATCGGCATATGCACCTACAGATGATGGCCAAGGTAACAAACTGAATTTTTTATTTAAAATAGCTTTGATAATTTTTATTTTTAATTTTTATTTTCTTTTCAGATGTTTGCATGATTTCGGAAGAAAACCAGAACAGTAAATCAAACGGCAATGATGAAATCAACAGCGATCGGTCCACAGAGAATCAGATCAATTTCCAAAATTGATTTATCATACGATTTTAAAACACGTATTTAACTGGTTTTTGATATCAAGCTCAATTGAAGGAAATAGACTTTTTGGAGTATTTGTGGCCTGAAGATTCTTCTTAAATTAACTTTTTTGTAGGCCTATTTACACATTTTTTGAGTTTAAAATGAATAATTCTCAATCTATACTTATATTAAAAGGTATACCATTTACCAAATTTAGTATAAATAAAATTCAACAACATTTATTGTATTATTATTTTCGTATTATACAATCTATACTTCTATAAAAGGAGATTCTATTTACTATATTTACTATCTAGAAAAGTCAACTGCATTAAATGTCATTACTATTTTGGTATTATAATATTTTATTTATTTAATTGATTTATTTATTTATTTTATTTTAAAAAGGTAAGTATAATAAAAAGATTTTAATAATAAAAAAATCAAATACCAAATAAAAATGTACACTTTGACTTATTTAATTATATTTGGTATTTGATTATACCAAATATATTCCTATTTAGTATATACATTAAATACTTACTAAAGTATTTATTTGTTTTATTTGTGAAAGTTAAGTATAGATTTGTTTATATTATCAAATCATAAAACAAATAAATATATCTCGTACTTCGCACGGGTATTTGAACATTGTACAATTTTCTTGCGTATTATAAACTTTTATTGAATATTGCATCTTATAATATAATATTCTCCAAATAAATATATCTCGTGCTTCGCACGGGTCACGTACTATATATATCCCATACATTTTTTCTTTATTCATTTATATAATTATAAGCCTGGATAAATAGCCTTAAAATTGTGCACCCCGTGCATCGCACGGGCTCTGTACTAGTTAGTTTTTGATACATCATACATCAAGCTCAATTAAAGGAAATGGAATTTTTGGAGCATTTATGGGCCTTAAGATTCTTCTCAAATAAACTTTTTATAAGCCCATTTAGACATGTTTTAACGGTTAGAAACGTTGTCAAGGCCATTTATACAGCTTTGCATAAGATAAGCGTTTGGCACGCTGTTCTTAAATAGTTGACCGATGTTTAATACTAAATTGAATATTTATGTATTTGTTTTTGAAAACTAAATTTGATAAATTAACTATTTTATATATAAAATTTTAATATATAATTCTCTGGTTTTCTGTTTGAAGGTTATAGGGTTGTCGTTTTCTACTCTCGGGTTGGTTTAATTTATTTTTTCTTGAAAATACTTTTATATTTAAGTATATTCGCCCTTAAAAAACCTAGTACATAATAGATTGATATACATTACTCAATATTATGATGGATAATGGATTAACCATTTTTTTTTTTTTTCATTTGTATTTTCACCACATACTAATTTTTATTAAATATGCCCAAATTTTGTAATCCTGGGTTATTGAAATGCCCGTAATTTATGACAAATTTCTCGGTCATATTACCTAATACTATCTCTTAATTTTTTTAAAATGTCATTTTAGTTTTATCAACCATTAACCAAAATTTTCTCTGTCACATTACCTAATAGTAGCATAATTTATCTACAAATCGTCCATTTATCTCGATCCTCATATACAGCGAAGGTACATAAAACTAAAAGTATAATTTGAAAAAATATCAATATATGAGTCTTTTGAATCAGATGTTTGTAATATTAGTCGTTTTTACATCTCACGTAACTACCTTTACTAATTATTTACCCAATGTTTTCGAATAATCAATTAATCCAATCATTTAATCAACATCTCTAGTTCAATATGCCAACAAGGACCCATTTAAATAAAAAAAATAGAGAAAAAAAAAATTACTGTATTAAATAACGTTGGACTGATATTGTTGTGGCAATGACCATTTGAATGAATTTAATGTAAAAAAACAACGTTTTTGGACCACATTTCATTTATTTTCAGCTAACGAAAAATCTCCGCCGACTGTCTGTATCAGAATTCTTTTATAATATGGAGTAATAGCAAAAGGGTTATCTGTGTTTGCTTGACATTTGTGGTTTGTATTTACTTTCTTGTCCAAAATGTTTTTGCATTTATTGATGTTTATTACATGTAAGATAAAATTATGTTTCTTCTTCCAATGCATAGCGTATTATCTCTTTCTTTCTTTTTTCATTTATTCCAACCTAAAATATGAGAAAATGTGACCAAGATTTTTAGAATCGGACTTATTGAAAAATTAATTAAGTTATTGTTTCAATAGTTCACTAGTTGAATCGGTGGTTGAATCGCGTGGATCGGTATAGTTAATTTTATTTATATTTTTAATATATATATATATATATAATACTTTATGTAATAATTTTATATATTAAAATATAATCAATTAAATATATAGACAATTTAAAACTTTCAAATATTTAAATTAATAGATAAATAATATACACACATTCTATTATTGTAAATCTGTATTTATATTTATTTTAATTTTGTAAAATATATTACTACTTCTTTTTTAATAGGATTTGAAAAAATCGATCGACTAATTTTGGTTGTTTCTGACCAATTCATTAATGATTATATAGACGGTATTAAAACCCCTGGTTTAGACTTTAGAATAAGATTCACTTATCCAATTTTGTGAGTTGGTCTCACGTACCTAGTAAAATAAATAAATATAAGTAAATTTATATATATTTGTTAAAAGAAATATATTGCTTTATTTTTTATATATATCCCAATGCTATCTAAAACCTGGTTTATCTTGCCTAGGCAGGCCTTTCCAGCATCATTATTCTTTGCCTTTATTCTTCTATATATACTTTCCTTTTTGACATTTTAATAATGTGAGTGGTTTGAATTTGAACTGTATAAAAACTATATTGAATATTTTATTATAAAATATTTTCCATCCTATCAAAAATTCTATTCCATTAACACAAATTATTGTACATATGATGCAATTTATTAATTAGTCGGACTGGATGGGCAGTCACATTAAATGAATAAAAATATCATACTTCTATTAGTACTTTTTATTAAATATTATATTTTTTTTAATAAAAATAAAGATATTTATAATAAACTGCGTCTTCTAATATGAAGTCTATTGTTCTAATGTTCCATAAAAATTAAGATTTCTAATTTTCGTGAAAATCGGTACAAATGGGCCTAAAAGTATCCGCCATATTTCCAAATAAGGCTTATTGCTAGGCGGCCCATGTGCTGTCCGTGACGTGCTACCTTGACATTGACTTAAAACATTTCTTGTCATTTGTATAAGATAGCTTGATAAGTCCAGTTGTCACCCAGCATTTAAGATTTAAGGAAAACGACACTTAATTATATTTTATTTTCTTCTCTTTTTTTGCAATTATAAAATAATTTAGATAGATTAAGAATTAGTACTTTAATGTAGTTAAAAATATTATATTATTGTACTTTATCTCTGCTTCAATATCTGATAATTAGCTGTTTATTCAGTGTCTAATACATATATATATATATAGTTATTAGTTACTCTAGGTAAAATGAGTTGATAGGAATAAATGTTTACATATTGTCATTCATTAATTAATATTACAAAATTGATTAAATATGAGGTTGGGCATGAATTTACAAGTGTTAGATATCTTCATTACCAATCTATTACTATATAATACAGTTAAGAAAAAATGTTTGAAAAATATTTTTATTTTGCCGCTCAAATCCTTTTTTTCCCCCCTAAATTTTATTTGAAATTTTTAAATGTTTTTCTTATTTTGGGTGGGTGAATTCTTTAACAAAAAAGTTCAAAATATTTGATTTGGATTAGATTTTGAAAACGTGTAACTAATTAGTTATGGATAAAGAATCCAACAAATTTTAAATTCCAAAAAATATGAAAACGCATAACTGGACGTCTGAAATATCGTGTGAAATTAATTACACATTAGCTCCAATAAGTTCCCAATTAATGTCAAACACCAAAATTAACCGACAAAATATTTCACATAATTCAGAGATAAAGTTTTACATTAACTCATGTTTGTCATCTGGTAAAATTACTTTATATTTTCCGCAAATTTGGTCAAACATAAAAAGCAAACTTAGTCATGTATTATGATTTTTGTTAAATTCTTTTGTATTTGCAATAACAAATGTCGAAATTATAAATTTTCCTATTTAGCACCAAGAACTTAGATAAAATGCTGCCAGATTTTTTAAACTCTAAATTTAACAATTATATATAATTGAGAAGAGGTTCTTTCATTCGCTTTAATTATCATAATTTGTAATAATAATAATAATTTGTGGATTCTTGCAATGATAAACAAATATCGTAAATAATATTATTTCAATAAGTTCCCAATCAATGTCAATCACCAATCTTACGTAAATAATTTTTAAGATAAAATAACGTGTGAAATGATCGTGTATAAAGAAATTAGCCGTATGACATATATATCAAATTGATAGCAAAAACAATTCCAAATTATGTGGATTCTTGCAATCCGATTGATTTCATGTAACCAAATTGGAAATTGGATATGTTTGAAAAGAATTTAGAATTATAGGTTAATTACAAATCATAAATGTACCAAATAAATTATATGATTACAATATCTACATTGTTTTGAAATCAATATTTCATTAGGTAAGTAAGTTTTCAAACATTCCTAATTTTTTTTTAAAATTAGACAATAAAACAGATACTTTTTAACTAAAACCATTATGATTGCATATCATGCTTTAAAAAAATTATATCTATAGACAAGTTAATAATAATAACTAAATAAATATTAAACTCTTAGGTTTGGATATTTCATATTTTTATTTAAAAGTCCTTTACATCTCTGATATTATGTGAGGCCTTCTTAATTTTCTTTGTAAATATTTTTCAAAAAATTTGAAAAATCCCGCATTTGATTGATATATTTAAGTTTAAAATCCAATTAATTAAATCAATCTCACATAATGAAATCTCTTCGTTTTGGTTGTTAATGAGATATATTTACTTCCTAATTTAATCAATCACACGCAATTTCTTCGGTTGCACGTTCTTATGCTAGACCTTTTTTCCAGACGAGATTGATCAGTTACGGACGAGATTTTTAGCAAGGAAGTTACGTTTTTTTCCCCAGAAATTTACGCACGTGTGAATGTGACAAGTGAGAAGTCCTCGACCGATAGCAATGTCGGTTCCAATATG